AAGGTCCAGGGTTCAGGGTTGAAAGTTCAGGGTTAAGGGTTAAAGATTCAAGGTTCAAAGGTCCAGGGTTCAGGGTTGAAAGTTCAGGGTTAAGGATTCAGAATTCAAACTTCAGGGTTGAAAGTTCAGGGTTCGGGGTTAAGGATTCAGGATTCAAAGTGCAGGGTTCAGGGTTAAGGATTCGGCGTGCAAGGGTTCAAGTCATGTCAAGCAAGAAACTCTTCTTCTGCAAAAAAGTCTTCCTCAGGGTTCCTGCACTACACTGAAGAAGAGGTTTTCTCGTCCCCCTGCTGGTTCTCCTACCTGTGTTTTTGGACTTGTTCTTTGACGCGGCGCGGCGGTCTTTCGAGGCCGGCGCTTCATCAGAGTCCACGAGAACTTCGATCTCGGCCGGGGGGTCCTCTGTCTCATCTGAAACAGATGCCACCATCAGCGACGATTCTCGCCCCCTCGGAAAAAACCTCCGACCCGCCTGGAATTTGGCAGGAATAAGGATGCCACAGTCCTGTCGAATCTATACTCCCGGATTTCTCCCAGAGAGCAGGAACCCAGCAGGAGTTATGTGCTCACTGGCAGAAATACAGGGGATCTGCTGTCGACTACTGGGCAGAGCCTGCTCCCGCAGTGTGACCAGTGTGAACGGGACGGAGAAATGTGTCCCACAGGGTGGCAGAATGGAGCAGAAGCAAGAGGAAAACTATAAGAAGGCAGGGAGACCACGCAAACTCCACGCAGACAGCACCCCAGGTCTGGAACTGAACCCAGGGCCCACAGCGCTGCACGGCATCAGTGCTCACCACTGTGTCGCCATACCACCCCGTCCGCAAACACTCCTTTCACAATCATCACACTGCAAGATTCTGAGCGCCTGAACACTTGTGAAGCGACTGTTTTATCTTCAGCCCTGGTCCTGCACAGCCGGGTCTTCCCATTCCACTCCTGCTTAAGCACTTAATAATCTATTCAGGGATCAATGGGGATTCATGGGCAGTTATTGAAACCCCTAAGAGATTACTGACCACGTGCAACCAGTGGGCCGAGGGGTCAGCAGCAAAACAGGCCCGACAAGGTGAGGATATACAGTGAGGGAAGAGGCCACAGGGGAAGTGCACTGAGGCACTTCTTTACACAAAGGGCGGTGGGTGCCTGGAACAAGCAGGGGCGGGTAACTTAAGCTGAGTGAGGCGAAGCTAGTTAAGGTAATTAGCTACGGGCAACCCAGCAAGCCTGCTCTAACTGGTAACTGGTAACCTTCCTCATGCGTTTGAGACTGGAGCCTCTGTTACAACTGCACCAGGGCTGTGGCTCTGGACCCTCTGTCCTTTTGGGTGGGGTCTCTTGTGAAAGCGTGCCCCGCCCCGCCCGTGCGCACGATACCTGGCCTGGCCTGGTGCTGCTGCAGCTGGCTGGTGAAGAAGCGCTCCCTCAGGGACACCTGCTCGTCCCAGGCGGCCAGGATGCGGTTCCTGTCCTGGGCGGAGAGGCCCAGGGAGTCCGGGTGGGCCTCCTCGATGTGGCACCGCGCCCCCTCCGCGCTCTGGGAGTGCTGCAGCTCCCCGCACACCATGCACACCAGCAGCTGGTTCAGGGGGTCGTAGTCCATGAGGAACAGGGCCCTCCACTCGGCCTCCGAGTCCGGCACGCCGCTGCCACCCCCCTCGGAGAGGGGCCGCGGAGAGGGCGGCCCC